GGGGGGGGGGGGGGGGGGGGGGGGGGGGGGGGGGGGGGGGGGGGGGGGGGGGGGGGGGGGGGGGGGGGGGGGGGGGGGGGGGGGGGGTGGGGGGGGGGGGGGGGGGGGGGGGGGGGGGGGGGGGGGGGGGGGGGGGGGGGGGGGGGGGGGGGGGGGGGGTGGGGGGGGGGGGGGGGGGGGGGGGGGGGGGGGGGGGGGGGGGGGTGGGGGGGGGGGTGGGGGGGGGGGGGGGGGGGGGGGGCGTCAGGCGATGCGCACACACGGGACTCAATCCCCGTAGCATGTTATGTGTCGTTCGAAACTCGTGCGTTCGAGATTTACGCCACATTGCCGGCTGGTCCAAGGACGTTATCTACCAGATGATACGGTCCAATTCGTAAGTTTGACTCACATAGTCGCGAACCGCGGAGCTGGAGAACAATAATTACCGGAGATTAGTTGACCATACGCACTATCATGCTCCGTGACTCAGTTTCCGCCATGGAGTTTCTCACAGCCCCGTGTGTACCATAACTGCAGTAAGTAAGGACCTTGTTCGGAGGCCGACTCGTATTTTTCATATGATCTTAGTCTCGCCACCTTATCGCACGAATTGGGGGTGTCTTTTAGCCGACTCCGGCACGATCCGCCGGGAAGTTACTCGACCAGTTGCGGGACGCCCTAGTATGTTCGTATTACGTCGATGCTTAAGCACCCCAGAGATTTTTGGCGGACGTTTCGGTAAATCATAGTAGAACGGAGCGGTAAAGCTATTGATAACACGCAGGGACGAGCCAGTCGTCTAAGCTCCTCAGGGGTACCGTTCGCCGGACTACAGCCTGTCCCCGGCGGCCGCAACTGGGCTGCGATCCAGCCCCCGCTCCAAAAGGATGACTCGACCTTGCGCCTCGCGTACTCTGCTCTCGAGCTGTCTCCGTGGGCAATGCCGGCTCACGCTGTGGGGAACCCTGGACGCCCGGGCCGAGCCGACGTTGGCCCCGCCCAGGCCTTTTTCGTCGATCGCAGCTATGTACCCTGTGCTGGCCAGCGCTTACTGCGCCGGCCATTAGCGGTGCGCTCTCGACTCGGCCCCAACGTAGACGGCGTCGCTGGCCGGATTCAAAGAAGTGAGCTACTACCATCGCGTGACGCCCTGCGGGCCTGAGTAACCGTGCACGAAGGACACCCCGTTCGTGGCGGGGGTTGCCTCCGCGACGGTCGCCAACGTGGGGGTCGGTGCATTCAGGCGACGAGGGGACCGCTGGTTTCCGGAGAGCGGCCTGTGCTCACACAGGTGCGGTCCATGGGGCCTGTGGATCCGGTTCTCCCACGCGCTAGCGCCGGCGTTAGCATGGACGCTAAATAAGTATACGCCGGCAAAGGGAGTGTAGGCCGGCCGAGGGCAATCGCGGTTACCGGGGTGGGGGAGCTCCCCGCACCAGCCTTGATGTGGTGTGCGAG